CCCTCCTCCTCCTCCTCACCAACCAATCCTCGCACGAAAGGGACGAGGACACCCTTGCGCTCCTCGACTCCTTCGCTTCTCGTTTCCTCTTTGACAGTCTCGGAGAAAGGACGGAGACTTCCTCTTCCCATCCGAACCCTGACGCAGCCTTCGCCTCCTCCTCCTCCTCTTCTCCTCCTCCTCCCAGCTTAGCGCATTCAGCGGCTGTGCGCACGCTGGGAGAGCTACACGGGAGACTGCTGGAGTTGGAGGAGGAGCTTTCGCTGGCAGCTCAGTTTCTTTACCGCGCACACCTTCAGCAAGCGTTCTTCAAAGCTGACGTCATCCTACGTCAGGCCCACCTCCTCCTCGATACCACCACCTCCAAGGTCCTCCCCTTCTTCCTCCCTCGTTCTCCTCCCCCTCCCCCTTCTCTCCCCTTCTCTCCGCCCATCTCCCCTCACTACCGAAACCGTCACCTCCCATACAACCTCGCTGCTTTCGCTGCTTCCCCCTCTCGCTCAGCTGAATCTTGTTTCAGCTTGAGCAAGCACAAGAATCTCTGGCCTGCTGCGAACTTCAGCATGGAGTTCTGCGACGCTGGGAGCTCCTCCCCTTCCTCCGCGTCTTCCTCGTCTGCATCATCGTCGCCTCTCTCGTGGTCATGTTCATCCTCCGCGACCCCCAGCGCAGGACCCGACTAGTGAAGGTGAGAAGTGGGGGAAGAGGAGGGGGAGAGGAAGAGGGGGAGGGGAGGAAGAGGGGGAGGAGAGGAAGAGGAGGAGGAGAGGAGGGGGAGAGGAAGAGGGGGAGGAGAGGAAGAGGAGGAGGAGAGGAAGAGGAGGAGGAGAGGGGGAGGAGAGGAAGAGGAGGAGGGAGAGGAGGAGAGATGCTGACAGAAACTTGTGCAGCACTACGCGAGCAAACTAAGATAAGGAGCAGAAAGTAATAAAACAATAGAACAGAACGTAGAGCCACGCAAGGGGAGGAGGCAAAACGAGGAGGACGAGGATGAGGACGAGGACGAGGATGAAAATGAAGACGAGGATGATGACGAGGATGATGACGAGGACGAGGACGAGGACGAAGATGAAGACGAGGAGGAGGAGAAAAGAAGAAGAGGAGGAGGAGAAACGAGGTGGTGGAGAGTCTGGTGGTTAAGGGGAGGTGAGGAGGGCGAGTAGGTCGCGTCCATCCGAGCAGACGTCGTACCCCGAGGTAGTCAAGCTGCTGTAAACCTGCGCGAGCTCCTGGGCTTGCAAGTTGATCGTCTCCTGCGAGTTAGGTGAGGGAGGAAAGCGAGAAGGGATCAGTCAGGGGAGAGAAAGCAGAAGACCATGTAGTCGAGCAAGGAGAAGCAGCAGCAGCAGCAGCAGCAGCATTGGAGCACCATGCTAATGACGGCTGGGCGCCAGCGAGGGAGGTCGAGCTGCTTGAGGATGCTGGCGTCGTATCCCTCCGCGTCCACCTGGAACCAGTCGATACGCTCCACCTGGTGCGAGGAGAACAGCTGCTGGGGAAGTGAGAGGAGAGGCAGAGCCAGACGGGAAGAAGAAAGGAGAAAGAAAGAGAGAAGGTGGGAGACGGGAAACCTCGCTCAAGGTTACGCATGTAACCTTCTGTTTGATGACTCTGTTTGATCGTTAGGCAGAGCAGAAGAGGAGGAGGAGAGGAGGAGGAGGAGAGGAGCAGGAGGAGGAGAGGAGGAGGAGGAGGAGGAGGAGTTCTCTGACCTCTGCGAGTAAAGCTCAAAATCTTCTTGCGCTGCTCCGATCCCTGAGATGGCCTTGCAAGATAGAAGATTAGATGACGCGAGGAGAAGTAGAGAAAGGCGGGAGGAGGAGGAGGGAGGAGGGAGGAGGGAGGACGAGTTTCCACTCACGGAGCGATCGTTGAAGAAGGAAGAGATTCCAACGGCCTACAGGTATGTGAGAGGAGAAGGACGAGGACGAAGACGAGAATTTTGGAGAGGAGCAAGGTGGGGGGTCAGCTACCCAGTCGGGCACTTCCTCTTCATCCACAAGTGCCCGCGGCACCCGAAACATTTCGCAGACCTGCAGGCACCATGACAGGAGATGAGGAAGAGGAGGAAGCAGGGAAGGATCGAGTTGAAGATGAAGAGTACAAGGAAGAAGGGGAGGAGAAGAAGATGTGGTGGTGGAGGAGGAGGTGAGAGCAAGAGGGAGGAGGAGAGAGACGAGGGGGAGGATGAAGACTAAAACCTGGTCGGGGTCGGTCACAGCAACGTTGGCAAACTTCAGTCCTTCACTGTGCTTGTACGTTTCCTACTGGTGTGTAAGCGGAAGCAAGAGAAAGCAGCACGAAGCAAGCCAAGGCAAAAAGCTCAGGAGCAGCAGCAGCAGAGGCAGCAGAGGCAGCACGGAACCTTGAGGGACTGGAAAAGGTCAGGAAGTGGCTCAACTAGGACGCCATGCCATCCTCGATCAATGATGTACCTGCAAGACGCTCAGACATTTCTCTGCCTCCTCTGCTTCATCCTCCCCTGCCTCCTCCTCACTTACTTGTGAAGGGGGTCGAAACTCCGCCCGTCACATGCTCCCACTTGAACAACAAACGGCTTGCGAGCTGCTGCTGCCTGCGAGGAGAGTGAGGACGAGGAGGGAGAGGAGAGGCGAGGGCACCGCGTGCTCGTCCAGCTCCATCGCCGCCGCGTCTCTTCGCTCCTGCAGCGCCTGCTCGAGGGTCTTCACTCCGACAGCGAGAGCGACAGGCAAGCGACCTCGGTGTCGAGGCAGTGGACGGGGCAGGGGGAGGACGAGAGTCGCCTGAGAGAGTGCGGGAGCACTCGCTCGCCGTCCTCACTTGACGATGACACCGAGGGCTCCGCGCATGGCTCGTCTGGTGTGCTGCTTGTCTGCCACCCATGCTCGCTGACATTGACGGAGAAGGGGAGGAGCAGAAAGCGCTGAAGCCGGTCGTGCGAGTCGACGGAGAGTTGGAGATGGTAGAGGCCTGGGTGGGCGAGGAGCAGGTGAAACTCTCCTCGGGAGAACGGCATGGCCTCCCTCTCCTCCCCGTCCATGTGCAGGAAGACGATGCCTTGATCAGGCACAAGCTTCTCTCCTGTGACCTCGTAGCGGATCATTACCTGACTCCCCCAGCAGCAGCAGGCAGACAGGAGAGGAAGGAACGCGCGGATCTCTCCTCCTCCGCTGACCATTGTTGGCTCTTTCCTCTCTACCTCCACTCCCTCGACAGAACTTTGGATTCGTCCCTGGAAGAGGAGAGGGATGCTGTTCAACGACGCTTCGCTCTCGCTTCTCTCGTCTACAGGCGCATGGCAGGAGTTACAGGAGGCTCTGCCTGTATGCAGCCGTCAGGCCCTTCCTCTCTTCACATCCTCCGCTACATGCGCTCTTCACGTAGTCGTTCCAACTGAGACTGTGTCAGATGCAGCATCTCCTTAAGCTCTCACCTGCACTCGCCCGCCATGGCAAAGGACAAGCAGTTGGGATCTGAGTCCATGCAGGGTGAGGACGAGGAGGGTGAGGAGGTGGAGGGTGTGGTGGATGAGGAGGAGGAGGAGGGGGTGGGTGAGGAGGTGGAGGAGGGGGTGGGTGAGGAGGTGGAGGAGGGGGTGGGTGAGGAGGAGAGCAGCAGCAGCGTGAGCAGCAGCGTCAGTCTAGCCAGCATGGATCGACTCGCTCTCATTCAGCACACTTTGTCTTGGCAGACTACAAAAGGGAAGGCCCGGAGGCCCGGACTCGGAGGCCCGGAGGCCCGGAGGCCCGGAGGCCCGGAGGCCCGGACTCGGAGGCCCGACTCTCCGAGCCTCAGGCTCAGTGGCCGCGGCCGACTGACTCAGGGCCTCAGTGAACTTCGGAAGCTCAGTGGAGAAGGAGAGCTGGAGAGGGAGCTAGAGTCGTCGCTACTTCTTATTATCCGCTCAGCGTAGGCTTGCTCGCTCGCTCTCGCTCCTGCAGTCGGTTCCACTTCCATTGAGGAGGAGACTTCTTGATGACTACTCGAGATTTGCTGGAGCCGTTGAGCAGGTTCCGATGGTTCAACAGCTCCAGCACACGCGTCTGTCGGAAGTCGCTCTCCTGCTGCAGCCTCTGCCTTGCCTTCTCCATCCTCTTCATCTCCTCCCTCATCTCCTCGCAGTCAGCGGAAAGCAGAGAGCATCGCTGCCGCAGCTCGTCTCGCTCCTCCCGGATGCGATGGATGGATGTCTTGGCTTGCAGCACCAGCTCCTCAGCCTCCTCAGCCCGCTGGCTCTGTGCGAAGACCTTTCCTTCGAGCTCCTCTATCGCGCAGGCGTACTTGGCCTCCTCTTTCAGTCTCTCCATCCGACTGCGCTGCAGCTCCGTGTCGCAGTCCTGCAGCTGCTGGAGGAGGGAGGCCGTGAGGCTCTCGAGCTGCTCGACGCTTCTTCTCTTCTCCTCAAGCTCCTCCAGCATCGCATCCACAAACGCGTTCCCAAGCCTTGAAAGCCGTGGCCGACGGGCGAGTGCGAGGGAGCGAGCGAGAGCGTGCTGCAAGCTCCTCCTCCACCATCGCTGCATGGACAAGACTGCCTGTCTCCTCTCCAACAGGAACGAGCGACGCCTGCGCATGCGCATGGCGGATTGAAGCCTGCGCACGTGGCCGAGCACCAGCAGGCAGGTGTCTCTCCTCGCCCTCATCGCCCGGTGCCATCGCTGGATCTTGACGCAGCTCAGTCGCCGCATGCTCAGCTGCCTGCGCGCGAGGCAGGCGAGGGCTCGTGCTTGCAAGGAGCAGACGGAAGTTTGATACAAGCTTGCGAGCAGCTCCTGCACCTTGTGGATCCTCCCCTCCCGCAGGAACACCTTGGATGCTCCGATCTCGTAGTCCTCGCCCCTCCTCAACCCCGCAAGCCTGCACGCGCTGAGGTCAGGAGCAGAGGAGCAGGCACGCGCTCACCTCAGAACGTCGGAGATGGCCTCGTTCGTGCTCGCCTCCCCTCCTCTCCTCCTCCCGGCGAGCGAGGCGAAGGCAGACTCGAACTCTTTCCTCCCGTACCTCCCCGTGAAACCAGCCCGCACCACCCGCACAGCCTCCACCACTCCGTTGCAACGCAGCTGATGCGCCACTAGCGGCTTGTCGAACTTGTGGGGGAGCTTGAGGGCGTTGGAGTTGAGGCATCGCACGTAGTGCCGGTCGGTCTCGACGAGGGATGCCGTCAAGCAAGTGAGCTGCTGCTTGAACTCAGAGGCAATCGTCTCCTGCCTCGCTTCTCTCCGCCTGCCAGGCATGCTGCTCCTTCCTGCCCGCTTGTCCACCTGCATCATGTGGGAGAGCAGCGAACAGCGAGAGGAGCCAAGGAGGGCGAGCAAGTCCTGCGAGACGAGGTCCCTGTTGGTGTCGACAAACCCTCGGCTGCTGTAGCAGACTTCTCCAGCGTAATGGAGGATAGCAAACGCTTCCCGCTCTCTCTTTGGCGCCTTGAGATGCTCCTGCTGCATCCCCCGAGCCTTGGACACGAACCCGTCGTCGCTTCCTCGAGGCACGCGACACTCTTCGTCGAGCAGCGCCAGAAGTCCTCCTGCTCTCACGGTCAGAGGCGAGGGGGAAGGAGCCTAGAGACCTCTGCCCTCGATCAGGTCGATGCATGGCTGGTTGTCCTTGTAGCTGACCAGTTCCCAGGGGATGCCTTCCCTGCGGTACTCCTCCTGTTCCTCCTTGAACACAAATTCGTTGAACTACCAAGCAGCGTCAGGCCGAGTGCCAGGAGTTCGAGCACACCAGAGAGCAGAGCAGAGCAGAGCAGAGGTTAGGACAGGGCAGGGCAGGATGGAGGAGAAGAGCTTGCAGGAGCTCGAACACACCTGCAGCTGAAGCTTTTCATTGGCATAGTTGATGCAGAGCTGCTCGAAGCCGTTCCTCTCCAACAACTCGAAGCCGAAGATGTCAAGCACCCCAATGCTCACCGACCTTGAGCCATCCCTCCGACCGCTGCTGGAGCCGCTGCTGGAGCCGCTGCTGCAGCTTCTGAGTTCGCGTCCTGTGGGCGTGGCGAGGGAGTCGTTGACTCTGGAGACGATCCAGTGGAAGAGGAGGCCGTAAAGAGCTTTCATCAGCGAGTCGCGTGCTGTCTCCGCCTTCTCTCGGCTGTTGCAGATCGTTACGCTCTCCTCCACCGTCTTGACTCGCCGCTCAAGCAGCCCCTTCACCAGCTCCTCCTCCTCGCACCCCAGCAGCCTCGCCGCCACTTCCACATCACTGCTGGAACGCAGACGGGCAGTGTCAACGTCGCTGGTGCTGCTGCTGGAGGTGTCAGCCATGAAGTCGCAGTTTCCGAGGTGAAGGAGCGCGAGGAGGACGCGGGTGAGGTCGAGCCACTGCTGGTCGCTGACTCCGATGGACGCGAGTGCCTCGTACACCTCCAGCAAGCGACATGGCGGCGAAACTACAGGATGAGCCGAAGACGACGAGCCGAGGATGCGAAAGTCTTGAACGCCGAGACCCAACTGAATCTCGGGGGGCAGAGGAGGCAAGCGAGAGGAGGAGGCAGGGGAGCGAGCAAGCAAGCTGTCTCTGAGAGCCTCGAAGATGTGGTAGTTGCTCTCCCCCCCTCCCTGTCGCACCACCCTCGACTTCTCCAGCAGGTAAGTCTCTATCTTTGCTCCACACATTCGCATCCTCCTCGCATCGCTTGCCTGCTCCACCTCTTCTTGGAACTGAAGGATCAACAGCTTCCCGAATCGCGAGGAGTTGTCTGCACCTACGTCAGTCTCGTTCCTCATCGCACGCCTCCAGCACCGTTTCTCACAGTCTTGGCGTTGCCGAAGGCTTCGAGGATGGGGTTAGTCAGTAGGACCTGCTGCTCCATGCTCATATGCTGCAAGGAGAGCTCATGCTCGCCGGGGGGGGGGGAGGAAGAGTGAGAGCTGGAAGCAGCGAGGTACTGCAGGAGATGCTTCGTCGTCTCTGTCTTCCCTGATCCGCTCTCGCCGCTCACCAGGATAGACTGACTTCTCTGCGTGCTCGACAGGCTCTCGTACGCGCGATGAGCAACCGAGTAGACGTGGGGAGAGAGGCGCCGCTGGCGGTCGCGAATGAAGCTTGCCATGCTTGCTCTGCTGTAGAGGCCCTCGATCGTGTGCCAGGGGTTGACGGCGAGGAGGATCGGGCCGGTCCAGGTGTAGATGCAGAGCTCGAGGAAGCGAGACTGAAGGTTGAAGAGCACGTTTGGCTCGTCAAGTTGAGTCAGGGACGTCAGGTCGGCCATGGTCTGCTCAGCTCGCGGGTTCTTGAGGGCGACATGGTCTGCCTCCACCTCCCTCACCTCTCCCTCGCTCGTACGGCATCGAAGCCTCCCTGCTGACCCCGACCCAAGTACTTCCCCCTCAACCCAGACTTGTTTACTGTCACGCAACCATACAGCTCGTGAGCAGTTGTCAAATGAGAACATCTCTGACACTGCTGTGACATCTGTGAACATGATCCCTGCTAGGGATTCTCACCGTGCTTCGTCCTTCCTCTCAAGATAGCCACTGTCTCTGACCTCGCTTCTTCTCCCTCTCTTTCTCTCTTCCCCTCCTTCAAAAATCGAACTGAGTGAAACGGCAGAAACAAACTTTCATCCCCCTCATAACCCCGGAGGGCCCGGCGGACCGGCCCAGGCTGGGCCCCGGCGGGCCGGGCGCTGACACTCAGGAGGGGCGCTGAGGGGACTGACTGAGGGATTGAGTGACTCCGGCGGTCACCCGCCGCCGCCGGCCCGCCACGCGGCCCGGTCGGGCCCGGGCGAGGCCCTTCAACGGTGACTGATGCCAAGTTGACTCACCGGGCCTCACTGCCACTGAGGTCATGTCAAGCAGTACGCCGGGTCGTTGTGGCTCTGTGCCGCACAAGCTCAGCCTGCACGGAAAGGACTACATAGCGGCCCGGGACCGGTCGGACGATCGGACGTACAGCAAGCCTCGGAACCCGGCTAGCTACTGAGTAGGACCCATCATAGTGGATGGCAGCAGGTGATAAGCGACTCAGCGAGTCACGCGGCTTATATCACTCTACCGTACGTCGGACAGGACAGCGCGGCAAGTGACAGGATATGGCCATCTCAATAACGGCTAGTGGGAAGACTTGCCACTGAAGTATTACCAGGCTGCCAATCATGGAACGAGACAGGGGAGGCCTTACGATGAAGGCACGAGACCACCTCTCAGCACTGAGGAAGTTTGATGGATCGTACTACAGTGCCAGCCGTGCGGCCAGGCAGATAGGCTAGTAGCGCCGAGTTAACAAAAACTCTCCTGTAAACCAAGACGACTGACGTGTTTTCAAGACGGCCACGGTGACGGTGTGGGACGAAGAGAGGGCTTTCCTAGCCGCCATCTCAACTTGAAGCCGGGCCGCCAACTTGAAGCCTTGAAGGGACTGGGAGCAGCTGTAAGTGTATCCGAACTCGACAGGAAGCGTTGGATGCCATGATCGGAGAATCGAAGAACTCGTCATTTCAAGCCTATGTCGGACTCTGCCTAAGCGTAACAACTGAACAGTGACCGGCGGGCCCGGCCTGGGCCCCGAGCGGCCTTCTCCCGGCGGCCCCCGGGCCGGCGGGGCGGTCCGACTGACTCTCGGACTTACGGTTGCGAGTCTCATATAACGCTCGGAGGGAGGAGGGAAGGGGGGTGGTTTCAATGGGAATTGAGGGGTAGGGGTAGCACTCCTAAGGGTGTTTTTCTACCCGACTCCTAAGGGTGTGTACCTCCACTAAAAGCACTTTGGAGGGTCTGTGGGTGGGGTACATAGGTGGTAAATGGGGGGTACTCACGGGGGACGGAGACGGTGGGGTACTGGAAAGGTGTTGGTGGGGGTCCTTGTACCTGAAAGCATGAGACACATGTAGAGGTTCAACAAAATCAGAGAAAGAGAGAGAAAACAAGATTGTTGTCGAACAGCAGAGCAAGAACTACTGTAAACAAGATTGTTGTCGAACAGCAGAGCAAGAACTACTGTAAACAAGATTGTTGTCGAACAGCAGAGCAAGAACTACTGTAAACAAGATTGTTGTCGAACAGCAGAGCAAGAACTACTGTAAACAAGATTGTTGTCGAACAGCAGAGCAAGAACTACTGTAAACAAGATTGTTGTCGAACAGCAGAGCAAGAACTACTGTAAACAAGATTGTTGTCGAACAGCAGAGCAAGAACTACTGTAAACAAGATTGTTGTCGAACAGCAGAGCAAGAACTACTGTAAACAAGATTGTTGTCGAACAGCAGAGCACAAATTTACGGTTGAGATAGAATGAGAAGGGCTTGCGTAGTAATAGACAAAGCCAAGATGCAACGAAGCATGCATGTCTCAAAGTGTAGAGGTTTTCAACAATTAAGGTGAGGGAACGAAGATGTAGAGGTTTTAAACAATTAAGGTGAGGGAACGAAGATGTAGAAGTTGTACAAAAACAGGAGCAGGGAAGAGGAGCGAGGGGAGCTTGGACGACTAGACTGAATGAACTGATTTGGTTGCAGCACTTGTATGCGTGAGGTTTAAGGGAACCTTTTGAACAGCGAACATGCGTGCAGCGCTGAAGCTTATCTCCTTGGCTCTTCCACTGGAGCTCGTCTTCTCCTTCTCTGGCTCTTTCGGATGGCGCCCCTCCCTCCCCTCGCAGAGGTCGAGGGCGGCAAGAAGCTCCCTTCTCATGGTTCAGTCTCCCCCCCGGACGTCAGTGCGGTCCTTGTCGAATGCGGTGGATCATCTGACGAGGAGGAGGAAGAGGAAGGGCTGACTTGAGATGCAGGCGGCAGACGCGAGGAAGCAGATGGAGCAGGACGAGCGCGTGAGAATCCTGATGGAGGGCATGCGAGGAACGTCGCTGAACCAGGATGACTTCGCGCAAGAGGGTCAGACCATTCAGGTCGTCCAGTTCGACAGCGGCAACGAACTGCCGCTGACCTACGAGCCTGACCTCCTCAAGGTCACGCCTATGCTAGTGATGCTGCTGACGTGTATGCTAGTGATGCTGCTGACGTGTATGCTAGTGATGCTGCTGACGTGTATGCTAGTGATGCTGCTGACGTGTATGCTAGTGATGCTGCTGACGTGTATGCTAGTGATGCTGCTGACGTGTATGCTAGTGATGCTGCTGACGTCTTGGCAGGACTACTACCGCAAGCGACCCGGCATCGTGTTGGCACGTCTGGTGCAGGTGATGACAGCAGCGTCGGGCTTCTTCTTGCCTCTGGTCCTCGACGCCATCACGGGCAACATCGAGAAGAACGACGTGATAAGGACGAGGAAGCTACGAGAGATCCTGACTTCCCTCGGGCCTTTCTTCATCAAGTTGGGACAGGCGCTGGCGATCAGGCCTGACATCCTTTCCCCTCAAGCCATGTACGAGCTGCAGCGTCTCTGCGACAAGGTCCCCGCGTTTGACAACGACTTGGCGATGAGGACAATGGAGAGCGAGCTGGGGGTGAGGGTCACCGACGTCTTCTCCGAGCTCTCCCCGCAGCCTATCGCCGCCGCCTCCCTTGGGCAGGTCTACCGCGGCGTGTTGAGGAAGGATGGCGCGACGGTGGCGGTGAAGGTGCAGAGACCGTTTGTGCTGGAGACAGTGTCGCTCGACCTCTACCTCATGCGTGAAGCCGCGCAGCTCGCTGACAGCCTCAAGCTCGGCAGAACCGACTTCCTCGCGCTCCTCGATGAGTTCGCACCGAGGTAAAGCACCACCGGGGGGGAGGGGGAGGGGAAGAGGAACTGGAGGAGGAGAGCTGAGAGTGTTGCAGGTTTTACGGGGAGCTGGACTACGTGCTGGAGTGCAAGAACGGGGAGTACTTCCAAGAGATCATGCAGAATATCTCGCAGGTTGTCGTTCCCCGCGTCTACCCGGAGTTCACGACCCGTCGAGTCCACGTGGCCGAGTGGATTGAAGGCGTGAAGCTCAGCCAGAGCGAGTCTGACGACGTGGAGGAGCTGGTGGCTGTTGGCATGATCGCCTACCTCACGCAGGTCCCTCCCCCCTTCCCCTCTCCCCTCGCCCCTCGTCTGCTGGTGCCTCTGACGTTGACGCTGCTCCAGCTGCTCGAAAGCGGCTTCTTCCACGCGGACCCACACCCTGGGAACATGCTGAGGACACCCGAGGGGAAGCTGGCGATCCTCGACTTCGGGCTGATGACGCAGGTCGGTGAAGAGCAGGGAAGGGGGAGGGAGGGAGGAAGAGGATACTGAGGAGGAGGTGACAGGTAACGGACGATCAGAAGTATGGGATGATCGAGGCGATCGCTCATTTACTGAATCGCGACTATGAGGAGATCATTCAAGACTTCGTGTCCCTCGACTTTATCCCCCCCGAGACTGACGTGGAGGAGCTCAAGAAGGACCTTCTCCCGGCCCTCAAGAACGTCTTCGACCAGGCCCTTGCGGGGGAGGGGCGCGAGGCATCAACTTCAACGAGCTGGCGGGGGACCTGGCGCAGATCACCTTCAAGTTTCCCTTCAAGATCCCTCCCTACTTCGCCCTCGTCATCCGCGCCATCGGCGTCCTCGAGGGCATCGCGCTCGTCGGCAACCCGCAGTTTGCGCTCATCGACGAGGCCTTCCCCTACCTCTCCAAGCGCCTCCTCACCGACGACGCTCCTCGCCTCCGCAGTGCCCTGCGGTACATGGTGTATGGCAAGGGCTCGAGCTTCGACGTCGACCGCCTCATCGAGCTCCTCCAGGCCTTCCAGACCTTCGTCGACGTGCGCGACTCGGGTACCGCAGGGAGGAAGGAGGAGGGAGAGAGGGGAGGAGAACCACCGCTGCTGCTTCGCTCCCCTGCTCTCACCCCAGTCGCTGGCGCTCGATCGCGTGTGAGGCGGAGGAGCGCGAGCATGTTGCCGCCGGCCCAGCAGGAGGGGAGCAGTGGAGGAGGGAGGAAAGGGAAGAAGTCGGGAGTGCAGGAGGCGCTGGTGTTCTTCTTCAGTGACAGCGGCTCTTTTCTCCGTCAGTTCATCCTCGACGAGACTGTCAACTCAGTTGACGCCATGTCCCGAGGCGCCGCCCTCCAGCTGCTGCAGCGACTCTCCCTAGACCGCAACCCTCTCCTTCCGCCTCCTCCTCCGATATTCCGCTCGCTCCTCCCTCCTCTCAGCGAGCAAGATGAGAAGCTCATCTCCAACGCAGACAAGCTTCTCACGTTTCTCGGGGCTCCGAGAGGAGGAGGAGGAGGAGGAGGGTCGCTGCTGGAGGGGCTAGCGAGTTCTGGGTTAGACCCCTCGGAGATCGCTTCTCTCCTCCCTCAGATCGCTCCGGGTATGCGACAGTTCGCGCTGCAGATCGTTGGAGGCCTGCTGGAGCGACTCAATTCACGACTAGTGCTGGGGATGAGGCAGCAGGCTCAGCCGGTGGTGAGTAGATACTTCAGAGAGTGAGGAGAATGAGAAAGCAAACAAACGAGGGGGAGGCGAGGCAGTGGTCGAGGACGAAGGGGAAGAGGAGGAGAAGGAAGATTTCTGGTATCTTGTAAACTATAGTCTCTCTCCTCCCCTTCTTGTCCTTTCCTCTCCTTTGCTCCATGCCTATGCTTCCGCCTGAGAGACGAAGAGCAGGCGTACAGCTGCAGGCAGAGGGTCTAGACGACAAGTGTATCGGATGCGTTGAAGGAGCGGGAGGAGAAGAGGAGAAGAACCTGCCAGACATCAGCATACTGACGTGAAGCAGAAAGAGGAGCAGCAGGGGCAGCAGGAGCAGGGGCAGCAGCAGCAGGGGTAGGGGAAGCAGGGGCAGCAGGAGCAGGTTCAGGGGCAGAGGCTGGAGCTGTACCTCTACCCGATGCTGCCCTCGAGTTAGCTTGACGTCCTCGATGAATGCGGCGACCTGAACTGAAATGAGAGGAGCTGGCGGAGGAGGAAGGAAAGGGGTCTACCTGATGCTTGTCACCTGCCTGCAGCAGGTTGTCCATGCTGCCATCTGCGGGTAAGACCACACTCCTCCTGAGCACCTGACCCAGCTGCGGCAGAGGGTCAGGGAGTAAGTCAGGCACGCAAGCTTGTCCTCACCCACAACGACCGCACGAGCTGAGGGAGCGAGTTGAGAGCAGCGCGAGTAGGCAAGTGAAGAGAAGTGAAGAGAAACTTCTCCTCCTCCTCCTCCTCCTCTCCGTTATCGAACACTCTTTCATCCTCTCGCCTCCTGACAGCATGCGGAGCGACGTCAGCTGGGAGCACGTCGGGGGGATTGGGGGGCTCTGACAGCACTGGGAGGTGAAGGGCGAGGGAGTTGAGGAAGGAGAGCTCGAGGATGGCGCCGGCGTTGGAGGAGGAGAAGCAGAGGCCCTGGGAGAAGTAGGTTTGAGGAGCCACGTGGAACAGGAGGAAGCCTGAAGCTGCGAGCTTCTGCTTCAGCTGGATCCACCGCCCTCCTCCCCGCTCAGCCTCCAGCTCGACCACGTCCTGGAGGTGGAGGATCGGCAGAAGCTCCTTAACATGCAGCTCGACCACCAGCTGGCCGATGCTCCTGAGCGTCTCCTCCTCCAGCCCTTCCAGCACTTCCACTTCCATCCCCTCCACGTCCAGCTTGACAACGTCGACCCTCTCGTGCCCGAGCTCGCGCATGATGTGCGGCAGGGAGAAGAAGCGAACTTGAAACACGTCAGCTGGCATCGCCTGCCTCCCTTCCACCTCCAGCAGCGACGCGTCGCTCATCACCAGCTCCCCGACTCTGCTGGACGACGCGATCCCCCAGGGGTAGAACTGCCACCGCTCCTCCCGAGCTTGAGATTGCATCAGCTCAACCACAGCTGGGGTCGGATCGAAAGAGAAGACAAGGCAGTCGGTCCGTGCCAAGACAGCCTCCTCGAACTTCACGTCGAAACCAACCCCGAATGAGTACACGATACACCTCTCCGACCCTCCTCCTGCTCCTCCTGCTCCTCCTGCTCCTCCTGCGTCTGCTCCCTCCTGTGCACCTTCAGGTTCTTCATTCCACGTCCTCCTCCACCTGCTGTCCTCGAGCAGACTTCGGCATAAGACCTTCGCGCCATCGGTGCAGGGGCCATCGCCGAAGAGGAAGGGGTCGTCGCACAAGGAGGCGTTGGGGAGAAAAAGATCGCCTGGAAACTCTCTTGGTCGCCTTGCAGCTCTCCACCAAGCTTGCACATCAAGCTCGACGGGGACAGGAGGTTGCTGAGGACCTCTGATTGCCTCTCCTCTCCTCTCCTCTCCTCTCCTCCTTTCCTCTCCCTCCAGACCCGCCACTCGCTTTCTTTCCTCTTCCTTCTTCTCTCGCTCCTCTCGCTTCCTCTTCCTCTTCTCCTTTCTTTTGCCTTGTGCGTGTGATGTCATTGATTCTTTCATGCACTCCTCTTGGTCGTACTCCACCAGCTTCCCGTAAAGGTCATACGAACGAGAACTTGCCGACAAGCTTTCCTCTTCCTCCCCCTCCCCCTCCTTCCTTTCTACTCTTCTCTCTCCGCCAGTCGCTTCCCGCTCTCTTCCTCCTCCTTCTCGCATTCCCCGTCGCTTCAGCTTCCGTCGTGCTCTTACCTCTGCAGTCCAGGGAGAGCATTCTCCGATCCCGCTCACGTCGTTGCTGAGGAAGAAGTCGGTAAGCGAACAGACCTCCAGGTCTCGCGTCCACAGCAGCTCCCGCACACCCACATGCTCTTCCTCTCGTCGCCCTCCCCGCAGCAGCCCCTGGTAAGCGACTGGCTGCAGCGCGACCGCGAGGGAAAGAGCCTCGTCTCTGCGGGAGAAGTCCGACACGAGGTAGACGGACGACACCCTCACTCCTGCCTGGGACTCGATCCTCCTCACGCTCTCCAGCATCACTTCCCCCTCGTACCCCCACAGCAGCTGCGCTCGTCGCGTCCTGCCGTCCATGGCCGGGGCATCAGGCAGGGAGCCGAGGAAGGAGAGGCAGAGCGAGGGGCTGGACATGGAGGACGCGAAGAAGGTTCCAACGTCGAGCGATATCCAGGGAGGCACCTGAGCGATCCACGAGCGAAGCAGATCAAGATGGGAAGAATGCGAGGAAGGGACACCAAAGGCGTCGCCGAGGAAGAGAGCTGAGGCGTCAGATCGATACCAATCGACAACATTTTCGACAGTGAGGTTGGGGTAACAAGATGCAAGAACCTTTTTGCCCTCCTCCCTCTCCTCCCCCTCCTCCTTCCACCCGTTGCTCTCCAGCTCGTTTGTGGTTGAGGCGAAGGCAACCCGAAGCTGCTTCACGTCTTTGCCGAGGCAGCAGCAGCATGCGTGCGGCAGTAGCTGGTAGGAGGCATCGCCATCTGCCCGGGCTGAGAGAGCTTGTTGGAAGCGACGCCAGGAAATGGCGCGAGAGGAGGACCAGAACAAGTGCTGCTCCTCAAGCTCCAACATCGCGACGCCATCCACCCTCACCTCAACACGATACTTCTCCTCCTTCATCCTCTTCCTGACGGCGGGACTAAGCTTCAAGCGCAGCTGGACAGATCCTTCTGGCTCAAGTTGACTCAAGTGGACGACAAGTGGCGGAGGAACTTTGGGCATGAAAGAAGCGCTGAGCCGGAGCTCGTCCTCGAGGTAGAACATCCTCGTCGCTTGCTCGATGACAAATGAACTGCGAAGGAGCGAAAGGCAGAGAAGGTAGGTTCCTTCCTCCCATTCCTCCCCAACTCGTTCAGTTCGTCGATTTGTGTCAGCCCATTCGAGGGTCAAACTTGCGTACACCACCTCCTCGTCGCAGCTTGTGGTCTCCCCCTTGAAGAAGCTTATCTCGGCTGACACAGGCCAGCCCCCCAGTGCTTCTCGCGCTCTCCTCACATCGATGACCAGCTCGAAGGGCCTGTGCACTGACGCGAAGGACTCTGGCTGCACAATCTGAACCAGATGACAGCGAGCGAGAGAAATGCAGAAACAACACAACACGAGCGGCCAGGAGGACATGGCAGCAAATGAGTTGGTGGAGATGAGCTATGCCCTACTGCTGATGATGTTCCTCTTTCATCTACATCTACATCTACATCTACATCTACATCTACATCTACATCTACATCTACATCTACATCTACATCAGAACCTAAAACCTTCCACCATCTCACCCGAATTAATCAATCAGGGTACCGGTGGCATATACTGCAGTACAACCCTACCCCCTCCTGTGAAGACCTTTTTCTTTGGAGGACAGCAGTTGGCAGCATTAGGTTGGTTCTCGCTGTCTTTCTCTTCTCGCATTGTCCTCGTACTGATTTTTAACTTAACTTTGAGTAAACCTTTTTGTTTATTATTGTTTTTCTCGTTGTTTTACAAGCGGCTCTTCGGCATGGCAGCGAGGGTCAGCAAGGGAGCCATGCTCATGGCGGCGCTCGCGGGGGCAGCGCTTGTGAGTCTCCTCGGATGGAGAACAGTGAGCGTTAGAGGTGGGGTAGAGCTGGAGACGGAGGGGCAGCAGCTCGCCCTGGAGAACTCCTTCTTCGACTCCATCTTCGCTCGCGACCAAGCCAAGCATGTCAGTGCTCGTTCGCACAAGCACAAAGCTGCGGATGCCCACGCTGCGCCCCAACATCATCAGGTGGCCGAAAAGCACAAGCATGGGATCTCGGCCAAGCAGGAGCGAAGGCTTGACAATGATTTCTATGACAGTATGGAGAACCAGGCGGTACAGCTTACCTCGCCTCGCAAGAAGCATCTTGCCAAAGTGATGCAAGCCAAGCATGCAGCGCACCGAGAGCAGGAAGCGAAGAGCTCAAGCCATACGCATGCGTCTTCAAACGAGAAAGCTAAAGGCTCTGCCAGACGGGACTCGGGCCGATCGTTCAGCGAAGACTTCGCCAAGGCAAAGGAAGCGTTGATTCGGGAGAAGGAGAAGATGAGGCACCTGGAGGACAAGGACAACGAGAAAGCTGACCTGCAGAAGACAAAACTCGAGCGGCTGAGAGCTCACGAGCAAGCACGTCAGTACGAGAAGCATCTCGATGCCATCAACAGCAAGGTTTTCCCTTCCTCCATGGATGACCTAGAAGCTCGCCAAGACACCACCAAGAGCGTGAGCCACGCGCTCGTCGACGACCTGCATGCTCAGCACGCGAGTAAGAAGCTCAGGCTGCTCAAGGGAGAGGGAAGTGCTCGCTCCACTCATCCCATCAGCTCATCTCATCAGCCCAAGTCGACAGTGGGATGAACTTGAGGCCTTGTTGTATTAAACATTCAACATGGATATACAGTGCTGTAGTTCAAGGAAAGAGGAGGAGGAAGAGGAGGAAAGACAGGAAAGCATACGTGTTACCATGGGCTACACGTCACGTACATCCCATCAGTCTCCTTCAGTCTCCTTGCTGCTTCTGAGTTCTCGCTCCGCGTGTTACTTTCCCCATGCTTCACAAACCAAATTTCATGTTCTGTCTCTGGTTGTAGTTGTAGTAGTAGTAGTAGTATTAGTAGTAGTTGGTGGTGGTGGTGGTGATAATGTACTTGTAGTTGTTTGTGTGGTTGTTCTTCTTCTGACTCTTTGGTCGGTGATGTAAGTGATATCTGAGGCAGGCTCTCACCCGCTGTTGGGCGCCCCGCGGGCGAATCGATGATAACGATGTGACAACCGGAGGCGAGCAGACTTGAGACCTCCTGCGTCTACTGGGATGTGATGTGCTTCATCCTCCTCCTCCACTTCTTCCTCTCCTCTCCTTCTCTTCGACGCCACCAACGCTGCCACATGTCACACTCATCAGTATATATGTCTTCCACTCCCTATAAGATGGCAGAAAATGAAAAAGTCGGAAATTCTTGATTCTATCAAGAAGTACCATGCAGTGATTACAACTAAGCATTCCTATCCCTTCTACTCGTACCACTTTTTGTAGAAGATTGTGGTCTCTACATTCGAGAACCCTGTTCCCAATTCTATGGGGAGAGAGTTTACACATTTTGATGCTTCAAAGACATCATAATGTTCGATTGATGCAAAGATAGACACAACATTGACTGATGGTTCTCAACATGAGCTAGATCAGTGCTCCCAACCACTTCCTCATAAACCTTTCTGTTCTCGATCCCTGTTGAGTTCTCCTACGCAGTCATATCTTACGCACGTTCTCCTGCTCCCAAACATCTTCTGGTTTACTTTTGGCATCTCCTTGAGATGTCATGCTCTTCTGATCACCTCCCCCCACGCCATGCCTTCCTCTTCCTTCTTCGTCGCTTACCTCGTCCGCCATTACTCTATGTGCGACGTGATCACCCCTCCTGATGCACCTTGCCACCACCCGTCATGTTTGATCAACCCCACCCCTCCTTTTACCTTGAAAATACCCCACCCTTTCCTCTTCCGACCCTGACCCCCTTAGCCCCACGAAGGTTCTACAGGTGGGGTCCTGGTATCCTTGGGTTCCTGCTGGTACCTCCAAAACAGTGGTTTTTCGGACCGGTACCTGACCCATACCTTACCACCCCCACCCCCCTTGTCCTCTGACATCCATCCTGTCACTGTGTCCCACCGGCCATGCTGACATAAGCCAAGAGCAAGAGAGAAGAAGAAAGGAGGAAGAGGAGAAGAGGAGCAGAGAGAAGTAGCGGAGGAGAGTAGAAACGAAAAGGGTCTAATATGTTTAGATGCCGCTGGTATGTTTAGATGCCGCTGGTATGTTTAGATGCCGCTGGTATATTTAGATGCCACTGGTATGTTTAGATGTTTTTTGTTTGCTTGACTTCACGCCCCATCCTCAGTGTCTCATGAAATCTCCCTCTAGAAAGAATTGAAAGTACTGAGAGGACTGAAAGCAAAGGGAAGGACGCAAACAAGGAATGAGGGAGGGTTAACGAGAGGTGAACTTAGCACAAAACCTCGTGCAGGAATGCAAGGAGCTCTTGAGTTTTAGCAACTGCACACGACTATAACCTGTCTTGTGATGCATGAAGTGAGTGAGTGGCTTCACGAGACGGAAATTCTGATCGGATGAGCTGCAACCATGTGGCAAATCCATTTGACACTTGAGATAGGAGAGAGGAGATAGGAGATAGGAGGAGATATATTGATATTGCACCGTCGGTGCTTCGTGAGGATCCTGACAGCTTTGATAGGATATTTGGCCTCGGATATCTCCTTGCATGATGCGTTCAAAAGCTTTTTGAAATACTCTATTCACTTTCGACGCTTGGGATCGTGACACGATACAGCACACAGCTGCTTTGCGCAGTCGTAGAGTGAGTTTCAGGACAGGAAGCCGATCGCCCATTGTGCATTGATGCAATGAATCGCGGGGCAAAGGTGTTGACACTCATCGGGTTTGTTGTCGTCTTCAGCTTCGCTCTCCGTGCGCATGCCCTGGACCTCGAGCACGTACACCGCGAGGTCGCGTGGGATGGTGAGACTTGGACAGGATGTTAATTGTCACCATCTCACTCTGTGAGTAGACTGGCAAGCAAAGCGGTCCAGACGGGAAACCCTCATTCCAAGCTTTATCAAGGTGATGCGATAAAAAATCAACATCATGATAATCGTGTAGCAGTCGGCAGATGGTTCCAAGTGCTTCAAGAAGTTCAAACTGTCAGTGATAGCTTTTTACAGTGGATGTTTGTCTGAATTCTCCTTGCAGAAATTCTTTTGAAGAGGCGCAAGTGTGCTGCACCCTGGCCATCAGCAAGATGAGACTGTGGTTGGCACTGTCCATGGCGAATGCGGTGGCATATGTGCATGCGGCACAAGAAACCTTCCAGTCCACGTGCAAGTTTGAATTCCCACGGCCGGAAGTTCTCGATCAGATGGAAGCTTGGATAAAGAGGTGAAACTGAGCTGTGTTGCTAGCCGCTCTGACTCCATTTCGCAAGTTTGCCCCTGCTGTACAAGATGCATCACCGTCAAGGGCCCGAACAGCAGCAATCTCCTTCGTCGCTTCCTACACCTGATGCCCCTTCCTCGCACATGAATATGGAGGAAGGTGGATCTGACACGTCGAGACTGCATGCATTCAGACCCGAGGGTGATTGGCAACAGCGTAGATACGCGTTCCCCAGGCACAACTACCACGTGCTCAGAACTTCGCGGCAGCACTTCCTGCATCGAAACGAGTTCGACCAAAGGGCTCGTTAGATCAGCTGTGTAAATATCCGGAAGGAAGGATGGAGTTGATGATGTACATTAAAGGAAGGGTTGAAAGAGAGAGCCGGTGTTCATGCATCGCTGTCATTGCTTGTTGGTGTGATTGAGAATTTATCGAGTTCGTCATTCAGTTCCTCCTCTCTTGCATCATATTGGAGCTGAAACTTGAAGAACTCACGGCACGCCTGCTGGAGGGTCTTTGAATCTGGCTGCTCGAGTTGTTCCAGCCATCGGCAAAGATGCCAAGGCATGAGGAGGCATCTGGCCTTCGGGTGCCGCTGCTCGTCGCTTCTCACGCATGTGGCTATGGGAAGGCTGCAGTTTGAAGGCTTGACATCAGTGAGGGTTCCATCAGCGGGAAGAGGGAGGGGTCCATCAGCGGGAAGAGGGAGGGGCCCATCAGCGGGAAGAGGGAGGGTTCCATCAGCGGGAAGAGGGAGGGGTCCATCAGCGGGAAGAGGGAGGGGTCCCTGCTGCTCTGCAGGTGAGCAAGTGGCGGTCTTGGAGGATCGCGCGCCCATGGCGATATCAGGCGCATCTTAGATGACACCAGGGGTAGTACAAGGTCAAATAGGGGGTAGTGAGTACTACGGGGTAGCAGGTGGGGTTGAGCTCTACGAGGGTGGGGGTATTCCTAGTCTGTGTCGGGGGTAGTAATTGAGCCAAGACCCATGGAGGAACAAAGGGGTAGAATTGGTATCAAAGTAGGGGTAGGGGTAGTAGGTAGAGTTTTAGTTATCAGCACCACTGTACACGTAGAAAGGCCAGGAGGGTCAGGGAGCAAAGGGGGGTGGTCTTGATGTAGCTAGGAGAAAGGTAGGGGTACTTGGACGATTCTTGTGGGGTACTTTTGATGATTTCAACCAATGAAGGGGTAGGGGGTGGGTTGGAGGATGAAAATGTTGAGCGTGGAGATCAAATGAGGCGAGCAGAGCAGAGCAGAGAAAAGAAGAGAAGAGATGATAGAAGACTGAGAGAGAAGAGATGAGATGATAGAAGACTGAGAGAGAAGAGAAGAGATGATAGAAGACTGAGAGAGAAGAGATGAGATGATAGAAGACTGAGAGAGAAGAGAAGAGATGATAGAAGACTGAGAGAGAAGAGATGAGATGATGGAAGACTGAGAGAGAAGAGAAGAGATGATGGAAGACTGAGAGAGAAGAGAAGAGATGATAGAAGACTGAGAGAGAAGAGAAGAGATGATAGAAGACTGAGAGAGAAGAGAAGAGATGATAGAAGACTGAGCGAGAAGAGATGAGATGATAGAAGACTGAGAGAGAAGAGATGAGATGATGGAAGACTGAGAGAGAAGAGAAGAGATGATAGAAGACTGAGAGAGAAGAGATGAGATGATAGAAGACTGAGAGAGAAGAGAAGAGATGATAGAAGACTGAGCGAGAAGAGAAGAGATGATAGAAGACTGAGAGAGAAGAGAAGAGATGATAGAAGACTGAGAGAGAAGAGAAGAGATGATAGAAGACTGAGAGAGAAGAGAAGAGATGATAGAAGACTGAGAGAGAAGAGAAGAGATGATAGAAGACTGAGAGAGAAGAGAAGAGATGATAGAAGACTGAGAGAGAAGAGAAGAGATGATAGAAGACTGAGCGAGAAGAGAAGAGATGATAGAAGACTGAGCGAGAAGAGAAGAGATGATAGAAGACTGAGAGAGAAGAGAAGAGATGATAGAAGACTGAGAGAGAAGAGAAGAGATGATAGAAGACTGAGAGAGAAGAGAAGAGATGATAGAAGACTGAGAGAGAAGAGAAGAGATGATGGAAGACTGAGAGAGAAGAGAAGAGATGCTAGAAGACTGAGAGAGAAGAGAAGAGATGATAGAAGACTGAGAGAGAAGACAAGTGAATAGATGATGGAAGACTGAGAGAGAAGACGAGTGAATAGATCGAGATCATAGCCGAGAGAGATACGTACAGCAAGGAGGAGATTGGAGGGGAGAGCATAGAAATGAACAGATACAGATCATGGTCGACAGATGTGTACAGCAAGGAGGGGAGGGGAGGGGAGAACAGCAGAGGCAAAATGAGAGAAGGGGGGGAAGAGAGGGGAGGGAAGTAGAGATCAAAACAGAAGAACTGGTAGTTTTTTGTGATGAACAGAACAGCGGAAGGGAGGAAGTTTATTTGTCACAATCGATTGTGAAATATTTTTAGGGCCTTGCCCGAACTTTGACGTGAATTCTCTTTTGTGTACAGGAAGTTTTGCAGCCAAGCAACTGCTATAGTTCATCAATTCTTTCAATGATCCTTCTTTGAGCAACTTGCGGGATCTTGATTCAAGTCATTCTGCTCGTGTGGCGTTTCTACCAAAACGATGATCAGCGTGCGCACATACTGTCTCTTTTCCATTCTAGCCACTGTTGCATGCATTACGCATGCAGTGCAGGTGAAATCTTTTGTGTGCTTCCAATGTTTGAAAGTTTCTTTAGGTGCGAAAGCAATTTTATCCCATCGTTGTTCATCTTGGGACGAACAAGCTCTGCGTGACGGTGATGGGAAACATGGTCTTCGTGGCTGCCTTAATCTTCGCGCAATTTGTGCGCAAGGTGCACAAGGAGAAGTCTGTTGGTGTCGCTGAGTGTGTTTGGTTACAGATCTTTCTCGGTTCTTTGCGACCAACTGAAGAGCTTCGCCTCTACGAGAAGATTTGGTTTGCCGTCACCGAGACTTGTCTGGCTCTCACCATATTCCGAGAGGAGTTGAAGTTTCGCTTTGTCTTTCTGTTCACAGTTCTCTTGTTTGTCAAAGTCTTTCATTGGCTGTCACAATTCCGCGTGGAGCATTTCCATACGGAGCTTGCGGTCTCTACTTTGACTCACATCCGAATTTTGATGCTGATGGGAATCTTGTTCACTACTGATTGTTTCTTCTTTGTTTGGCAAGCTAAAACCCTTCTCTTGGAAGGCCCTTCCTTCCTGATTCTATTTGCATTCGAATACGTGATACTCGCGAGCACGATCACAACGACCTTCTTGAAGTACATGCTCTATGTCATTGACATGAGACGACATGGAAGGTGGTCGAACAAGGCAGTTTACAGCTTCTATTTGAATCTCATCAGTGACCTCTTTCAGCTCTTCGTGTATCTGATCTTCTTCTCAATCGTCTTGTCCTTTTACGGAATTCCACTACACATTGTCAGGGACCTCTACAACACGTTTGGGAACTTTAAGAAGCGGATTGCTGATTTCATTCGCTATCGAAGAGTGATTGTCAACATGAACACGAGGTTCCCCAACGCCACGGCAGAAGAGCTCTCTAGGATGGATCACACTTGCATCATCTGCAGAGAAGAGATGCAGCCCCCTCACGCCAAGAAGTTGCCCTGCGGTCACATCTTCCACTTCGATTGCCTGAGATCCTGGTTGGAGGAGCACAGCCAGTGCCCGACGTGTCGTATGCAAGTTGAGATTGACAACGCCCAGCCAGTGCCAGCACAAGCCGAAGAAGCAGCAGGCGAGCGAGAGGTGCAGAACCAGCGACAAGAGCAGGTGAGAGAGTCAGAGAGGAGGCGCTGCTGACTCTGATGGTACCAGAGGCCTCGCCCACCCAGTCCTGCCAGGCAAGTCGCCAACTCGTTTAGCCGAGAGGAGGTGCGACCTTCGAACCTCCCGTCTGCCGTTGATCCGCATCAGCCCGAACCTCGCGATGCTTCTAACGCTGCCGAGAGCTCCCTTGCGCGTCGAAACCTTACTGAACCTCATGTGTCCTCCTTTCACTCTCCACAAACTCCACAAGCGGCGGCGGCAGCAGCAGCAGCAGCAGCTTCGGCGGCAGCTGCTGCTCACGCTCGAGCCGTGGGTGTGGATTTGCTGAGAACTCCGCAAACGAGGTGCGGCGATGAAATTTCATCTCTTTGTCGCTCTCACTCCCTCAATCTTTTGACTTGTCGCAGCCATGGCACCGGCTTCTCGTTTCCCTCACCCTTCACGCCTCCGTCACTGCCCCCCCTCCCCCCTCAACTCTTCGGACTCCCCGGCGTGGCTCCCGCAACTTCGTTTCCGTCCCTGCTGGCCGGGCAGCTCTCGAGTGGAAGCGTGAGCTCTTTGACTGCCTTGAGACCTCTTGACGTGTTAGCAGCAGCCCACGGGCCCGTCAGCGTCTGCTGCCAGCGAAGGGCTCGTGTCCTCCCTCCTGGCCCCAGAGATCTCTGCCCTCGAGCCTGTTAAGCGTTGTCTCGAAGAGCAGATGGAAGTGACGGCCAGCGAGATCGACGCGCTCGTTGCAGCGAGTGACATGGCAGAGGCAGAGAGAGCGAACAAGTTGACCATGCTGAAGCTGCGGCTGCAGCAAGTTCTGCTTCCCATGGTCAGCTCGCAGTGCAATCACATCTCAAGCATCGTTCAGACTTACGAGGCTCGCAAGCCGTCGAGCGCGGGCACGGCGGAGGTCACGCCTGTCAGAAAGCTGAAGATGCAGCACATGCTGAAGTTTATGGAGGGACGACAACGAGAGATCCGCGACCTGCTCAACCTCTGCAGCGAACTTGTGGAGCAGTCAGGTGAGGATCCCTTTGCTTCCCTGCCTCCTCTCAACACTCTTGCTCACAGCTGGCGGAGCTGCTGAGACTGTCAGTCAAGCGGATGACGCGGACGCGGTGAGGCTGATGGAAGGAGCTGCTCCATCGCTCACGGGCCCTCAGGTCTCTTCTGGTCTGCACAAGCGACACCCGCACGCGTCGGCAAATCTTGATGCTCAATGAGCAGCCATTAAAGCTAAGCTCAACGAGTTAAGCTCAACGAGTTAAGCTGACCGAGTTAAGCACAACGAGTTAAGCTGACCGAGTTAAGCTCAACGAGTTAAGCTGACCGAGTTAAGCTCAAGGAGTTAAGCTGACCGAGTTAAGCTCAAGGAGTTAAGCTGACCGAGTTAAGCCCCCCCTCCTCCCTCAAGGGCTACTGCTGAGACTCTGCTGACCTTCGACTCTTTCACTGCCACAAGGATCAGTCAGCCGCTGTAAAACTCTTTCCCTCCAGCGTAGAGTCGATGGATGCTGTGGCAGAAGAGTACGCTGGTAGTACGGATTTAAAGCAGGAACAAGCTAAACGCTTTGTTTTGCTTGAGGCACTTTTTACCTTCTGCCAGTAAATCCGTACAACCGTGGCAGCGTACTCTTCTGCCACAGCATCCATCGATGCCTCTTGAGGATGCGGCGTTTGGTCGGCACTTCGTGCCTGATGACGGCCCTGCTGCTGAGGTCTTGGCTCGCAAACGCGCCGCCACCTATCAGCGCCTCACCATGCAGCTGACGCTGGAGGCGCTCCTGTCTGGTGCGAGGCGCATGACGCCCTTGCGGGCGCAAGCACTTCTCGAGCCAGAGGACAGCTCCTCCTCGGACTTTGTCGAGTCGCCCGAGGAGTCTTCGCCGGAGGTCTCCGACTCCGATGGGGGACACCCTTCGAGTGGCCCCGACGACCGGCGCGGAGCTGGCGAGGCGTCTCCGTCCCTCACTGTGACGTCGGGTGCCTCCGGAGAGCTCGACACCACTGGGGTGCTTGCTGCTGGTCCGAGCTCGCCTGCTTCCTCCCCGGCATCGGTCGGGTCACGACGGTCCTTGGGCATTGCCTCGGCAGCGATTCGCTCATTTCTTGACCAGCACTTCCTCTCGTCTCACCCTCGAGCGATTCAGTTCGGACTCGATCGAGACGGCTGTCTGAAGTTCTCGCAAACCGCGTCAGCGCTCCTGCCCCTTCAGCGGTGATGATGAGGATGTTGCCAACCCCACAGTGGGTGCCACCGTCCGCTGCCCCCGGCGGACCCCCGGGCAACGCCGGCTCCTCTCTTGTCGGCGGCTGCCCTTTCTCCGTAGGAGGTTCAGCTTGTTCCTGCTTTGTTTGCTTGAGGCACTTTTTACCTTCTGCCAGTAAATCCTATACTCCACAGTGCTGGTGAGTTTGGATGCAAAGAACGCCTTCAACTCCCTCGACCGCCAGGCTCTCTTCGATGCAATCGAGGGACGTGCGAGTCGCGACTACTTTGATAGCACTAATGGGAGCATCACTGAAGGCGCAAGCTTGCCCTCTTGCGAGCATCTCCGTTTGTTCGCCTCCTACCTCTCCAGCTACTATGGAGACTCTGCTGACCTTCGACTCTTTCACAAAAGTCAGTCAGCCTCCGTTCAGTGTACCTCGGGCGTCTGTCAGGGCGATGTCCCCTCCAGCGTATTTTTCTGCCACAGTATCCACCCCCTGCTCCTCCATATCGCAGATCTTTTTCCCTCTGTTCGAGTCTTGGCCTATGCTGACAACGTCGTGCTTGTCGGTCCACTCGAGGATGCCGTTGCAGCTACGTCCGCTATGAAGAAGTACATGTTGGCTGATCTGAAGCTAGAGATTCAACCTCGCGAGTCGAAAGTTTACATCCCCTCCTGGCATCAACACCCTGATCTCTCGCAGCTGAAGAAGAGCCTTAAGCGCCGTCTCAAGACTCAACTTCTTCACTTCGAGGTCGTCACTGGCGGGATTACACTTGGCGGCCTGCCTATCGGCACGGATGGATTTCATGCTAGTCAGCTCCGAGCGAAGGTTTCTACCCTCAACGAAGAGCTCTCGAAGCTCGGGCTCGTCCAGCATGGCTTCATGTTCAAGACGCTGGTGAGGGCGAGCCATCTCCAGAAGCTGCGCTTCTTCCTCCAGGGGTCATCTCCGTTTCTCCCGCGGGTCCAGTCACAGATTCGTCGCTTTGACCTCTCTGTCCACCTGGCGCTTGAGAAATACCACCGCTGGCCTTCCTCGCAGTACCTCGCCGCGCATCCCGACCTGCTCGAGTTTGCGAGGTTCAAGCGGGAGCTTCCGCATAGTCGGGGAGGGGACGCCTCTGAGGGTCTACACCCCGCTGTTTACTATACGGCTATCGCTCGCTTCCTCGCTTGGTACTCTGACCAGCCGATGTCCCGGACGCTGCCCTCTCCTCATAGCCTGGACGTTCACTGCTCGAGATCTCTCCGTGCCCAGAAGCATCCTCTGGCGACCTTCTTCGTTGAGGCGCACGACTTCGTTCATAATGCTGGAGCGATCCTCTACCGTCGTGTCAAGGCTCCTGCACCGTCCGGCTGCAGATGGCGCGGCGATCCCACCTGCCCCGGCTGCTGTGCCTGATGACGCAGGACGCCCCCCGGCATCAGTGGTACACATCCCTGGTTTGCGCGCTCTCGTCGACTCGTCTCATGAGCACTTCATTCCTCCCCCTGCGCAGCGAAATGTGACCCCTCTTGTCATGCGCGTCTTCCCTCGCCATGTGCATGCTCGCGCTGCGCTGACCGATCAGCAGCGTGATATCCTCACCTTGCACAGCCGCAGGACACACTCGCTCAAGTCGCAGGATAGGGTCTTGCAGTCTACCATCTTAGCTCATTTTCCTGAGCGAGACCTGAGCCACTCTCCGATGCGAGTCTCGAGCTACTACCCCCTCAAGGCCTTCCCGCACCGCTATGCTCAGATGCTCGACTGCTATCTCCATGGCATGCCGATCTGCCAGTGTCCGACGAAATGTGATGGATGTCAGCGCGAGCTCGATCCCTCCGTTGCTGCACATCATCTCCAGACCTGCAAACGCCGATCCTCCAAGCTTCCCACGGCGCATGACAACCTTACTCGTACGATTCGGTCGATGCTGAACGAAGCTGGTCTTCAGAGCGTCATCGATACAGTGGGGGATCCTCGTTCTCGACGGCAGGTACCCTCCCATCCTCATGGCCGCCAGATGAAGGGCGATATCCACGGCTTCGCGCTTGGGCTGGCGGTGCCGCGTCTGGGTGCCAGCAGTGCTGGTTTTTTTCGGGCTTGTGTTTTGTGTGTGATTGTGCCGCTCCTCGCTGTGCGCTGTGTGCCAGGAGGTTTAGCTTGTTCCTGCTTTGTTTTGCTTGAGGCTGCCAGTAAATCCATTATCGGGTCCACTGGCATTCCTGGAATCCGCGATCGAGGGTCCGAGCAGTACGAGGGCTTGATGGCGGACGTGACGTTGGTCCACCCTTACATTGGTAGCTCTGCCGACCTGACCAAGTGGGGGGAGGTCAACCTCGACGCATTCGCAAACATCGCGCTGCATATGCCATGACTACTCCTCCTCGAGCGTTCATCCCTCTTGCCATCTCGACGGACGGTACCCTGCATCCTGACACCCTCCGCTTCATCTGGTATCTGGCGGACATCATTGCTCAGCGCTCAATGCCTCTTGAGGATGCGGCGTTTGGTCGGCACTTCGTGCCTGATGACGGCCCTGCTGCTGAGGTCTTGGCTCGCAAACGCGCCGCCACCTATCAGCGCCTCACCATGCAGCTGACGCTGGAGGCGGCCGCCCGCTTTGTGGCGGCAGCGGACGTCTCGACTGACAGTGGTCAGTCGGCTGCCTCCGGGTATCGCGTGTAAGGGATTTTATTCCTCCTGCATGCTCCTGCTGCTTGTTGCTTGATTGCTTGACCCTTAGGCTGCTTGTCTGCGCGGCTTCGCGCTTGGGCTGGCGCTGCCGCGTCTGGGTGGCAGCAGTGCTGGTTCTTTTCGGGCTTGTGTTTTGTGTGTGCTTGTGCAGCTTCTCGCTGTGGACTGTGTGCCTGGAGGTTCAGCTTGTTCCTGCTTTGTTTTGCTTGAGGCACTTTTTACCTTCTGCCAGTAAATCCACT